GTGGGGGAAATGGGTCTATAGGGTTCTCTATGGGTACCTGTGGGGTCTCTATGGGTCTCTATGGGTCTCTATGTGTCTCTATGGGGTCTCTATGGGTCCCTATGTGTCCCTATGGGTCTCTATGTGTCCCTATGGGTCCCAACGTGTCCCTATGGGTCTCTATGGGGTCTCTATGGGGTCCCTATGGGTCTCTATGTGTCCCTATGTGTCCCTATGTGTCCCTATGGGTCCCAACGTGTCCCTGTGGGTCGCTATGGGGCAGGTGGGGAACCGGGTCGGCGTTCGCCGCGGCGCCGATGACTCCGTGCACATCCTGGTGGACGGCGAGGACATGGGGCCGGCCGCCACCGGCGTCGCCAAGGTAACGGAGGCCACGCCCCCTTGCCGAAGCCACGCCCCCTCCCAGACCACGCCCCTTTAAGCCACGCCCCATTCAAAACCACGCCCCCTTTATACAATGCCCATTGAAAGCCATGGCCCCTTCGAGCCTCTGACCACCCCCCCTTTGAGGCCACGCCCCCTCCCATTGGCCACGCCCCCTTCGAGACCACGCCCCTTTAAGCCACGCCCCCTCCATCCCCTTAAACCACGCCCCCTTCATACAATGCCCATTGAAAGCCATGGCCCCTTCGAGCCTCTGACCACACCCCTTGAGGCCACGCCCCCTCCAATTGGCCACGCCCCCTCCCATTGGCCACGCCCCCACCTTTGGCCACGCCCCTTCCATATAAGGCCATGACCCCATGAGACCACGCCTCCTTTGAGGCCACGCCCCCTTCCCATTAGACAACGCCCATTTAAGGGTATGGCCCCTTTGAACACGCCCCCCCTCCTGGCCATGCCCCCTCAATGTCCATTTAAGGCCATGACCCCTATGGGACCACGCCTCCTTTGAGGCCACGCCCCCTTCCCATTAGACAACGCCCATTTAAGGGTATGGCCCCTTTGAACACGCCCCCCCTCCCGGCCACGCCCCCTCAATGTCCATTTAAGGACATGACCCCTATGAGACCACACCCCCTTTGAGGCCACGCCCCCCCCCCCCCTTCAGACAATGCCCATTTAAGGCCATGGCCCCTTTGAGACCCCGCCCCCTCGGAGGCCACGCCCCCTGTCCTGAGGGTCAGTGACGTCACTTCCTGTGTGGGAGGGGCGGTGGTTGTGATGTCACCGTGGCCTCTGACCCCACTTCCTGTTCGAGAGGGGTTATGACGTCACAGAGCTCAGTGACCTCACTTCCTGTTTGAGGGGGTTGATGATGTCACAAAGCCCAGTGACATCACTTCCTGTTTGAGGCAGTTGATGACGTCACAGAGCTCAGTGACCTCACTTCCTGTTTGAGGCGGTTGATGACGTCACAAAGCTCAGTGACATCACTTCCTATTTGGGGTGGTTGATGATGTCACAGAGCTCAGTGACATCACTTCCTGTTCAAGACAATTGATGACGTCACAAAGCTCAGTGACCTCACTTCCTATTTGGGGTGGTTGATGACGTCACAGAGCTCAGTGACCTCACTTCCTGTTCAAGACAGTTGATGACATCACAAAGCTCAGTGACCTCACTTCCTGTTTGAGACAGTTGATGACGTCACAAAGCTCAGTGACATCACTTCCTGTTCGAGAGGGGTTTGATGACGTCACAGAGCTCAGTGACATCACTTCCTGTTTGAGGCGGTTGATGACGTCACGGGGCTCTCCGACCTCACTTCCTGTTGGGGGGGGGGGGGCGTGGTTGTAACAGGTTTGGAGGGGGGGGGGGTGTGACAGCGCGGGTCATGACATCATCTATGACGTCATCATTGACATCATCGATGACGTCATTTCCCCCCCCAGAACGCGCACGTGGCGCTGGACCTGTACGGGCGGGTGACGGCCGTGACCATCGTCAGCACGGGGGGAGGGGGCGAGGCCGGGGGGGGCAGTGCCGGCCCCTCCCCCACGCCCAGCCCCACCCCCACGCCCAGCCCCTCGCCCACCGCCAGCGCCCCCCACAGCGTGAGTCGGAGCCTCGAAGCAGCCCCATTGAGCCCCATTGACACCCATTGACATCCATTGAGCCCCATTGACACCCATTGACCCCCATTGACCCCCATTGACCCATTGACACCCATTGACACCCATTGAGCCCCATTGACACCCATTGACATCCATTGACACCCATTGAGCCCCATTGAGCCCCATTGAGCCCCATTGACATCCATTGAGCCCCATTGACCCCCATTGACATCCATTGACACCCATTGAGCCCCATTGAGCCCCATTGAGCCCCATTGACATCCATTGACACCCATTGAGCCCCATTGACTCCCATTGACCCCCATTGACCCCCATTGACCCCCATTGACCCCATTGCCACCCATTGACACCCATTGACATCCATTGACCCCCATTGACCCCCATTGACCCCTGTTGACATCCATTGACGTCCATTGACATCCATTGATCTCCATTGACGTCCATTGATCCCCATTGACCCCCATTGCCCCCCCGCAGGCCCCACCCACCTTCCTGCCCCGCCACGGCCGCAACATCACCCCATTGACATCCATTGACACCCATTGACCCCATTGACATCCATTGACACCCATTGATCCCATTGACCCCCATTGATTCCCATTGACACCCATTGACCCCCATTGACCTCCTTTGACCCCCATTGACCCCCATTGCCCCCCGCAAGCCCCTCCCACCTTCCTGCCCCGCCACGGCCGCAACATCACCCCATTGACACCCATTGACACCCATTGACCCCATTGACATCCATTGACCACCATTGATCCCATTGACCCCCATTGACATCCATTGACCCCCATTGACCCCCGTTGCCCCCCCGCAGGCCCCGCCCACCTTCCTGCCCCGCCACGGCCGCAACATCACCCCATTGACATCCATTGACGTCCATTGACCCGCATTGACATCCATTGACCCCCATTGATCCCATTGACCCCCATTGATTCCCATTGACCCCCATTGATTCCCATTGACCCCCATTGACCCCCATTGCCCCCCCGCAGGCCCCGCCCACCTTCCTGCCCCGCCACGGCTGCAACATCACCCCATTGACATCCATTGATGTCCATTGACCCGCATTGACCCCCATTGACACCCATTGACCCCCATTGACCCCCATTGACATCATTGACCCCCATTGACCCCCATTGACATCCATTGACCCCCATTGCCCCCCCGCAGGCTCCGCCCACCTTCCTGCCCCGCCACGGCCGCAACATCACCCCATTGACATCCATTGACGTCCATTGATTCCATTGACCCGCATTGATTCCCATTGACCCCCATTGATCCCCATTGACACCCATTGATCCCCATTGACACCCCCATTGACCCCCATTGCCCCCCCGCAGGCCCCGCCCACCTTCCTGCCCCGCCACGGCCGCAACATCACCCCATTGACATCCATTGACGTCCATTGACCCGCATTGACATCCATTGACACCCATTGATCCCATTGACCCCCATTGATTCCCATTGACATCCATTGACATCCATTGACCCCCATTGAGCTCTGTTGACACCCATTGACCCCCATTGACCTCCATTGACCCCCATTGACATCCATTGACATCCATTGACCCCCATTGACCCCCATTGATCTCCATTGACTCTCAGTGATCCCATTGACCCCCATTGACCCCCATTGACCCCATTGACCCCCATTGCCCCCCCGCAGGCCCCGCCCACCTTCCTGCCCCGCCACGGCCGCAACATCACCCCATTGACATCCATTGACGTCCATTGACCCGCATTGACATCCATTGACACCCATTGATCCCATTGACCCCCATTGATTCCCATTGACCCCCATTGACCCCCATTGACCCCCATTGACCCCCATTGCCCCCCCGCAGGCCCCGCCCACCTTCCTGCCCCGCCACGGCCGCAACATCACCCCATTGACTCTGACGTCCATTGACCGGCATTGACATCCGACACCCGATCCCATTGACCCCCATTGATTCCCAGCTACACCAAGGCCTGGTGCTGGTGACACCCAGACCCCCATTGCCCCCCGGGCGCCTGACATCCATTGACATCCATTGACCCCCGACCCCCATTGATCTCCATTGACTCTCAGTGATCCCACTGTGACATCACACACCCACCCATCACCCATCACCATTGGGAGAATGGGGTGTTGCCCCGCCACGGCCGCAACATCCTGCTCTCCAACGGCAACCGCACGGCCACGCGCGTCGCCAGCTACAACCAAGGCCTGGTGCTGGTGGCCCAGCCCCTGCCCCCCGGGCGCCTCTTCCAGGTGAGCTCCGCCCCCCCCCGTGACGTCAGCGTGACGTCACTGTGACATCACACACCCACCCATCACCATTGGGAGAAAGAGAGAGAGCCATGGGTGATGTCACCAAGGGGTGGTGATGTCGCAGTGACGTCATGCTGATGTCACCCCCCCATAAAACAAGGGGAAAGAGGGAGAGACATGGGTGATGTCATGCTGATGTCACCATCATGCTGATGTCCCTCCTTGTAAACATGGGGAAAGGGGGAGAGATGTGGGTGATGTCACCAGGGTGATGTCACAGTGACGTCATGCTGATGTCACACCCGCCCCCCCCCATAAACAGAGGGAAAGGGGGAGAGATGGGTGATGTCGTCAGGGTGATGTCACCGTGACGTCATGCTGATGTCACACACACCCATAAACAAGGGGAAAGAGGGAGAGACGTGTGGATGATGTCACCAGGGCGTGGTGATGTCACAGTGACGTCACGCTGACGTCATCCCCCGAAGCAAGGGGATTGGATAAGGATGGCATAGGGGGTGGAGGTTGTCCGGTGATGATGTCACGATGACGTCACTGGATGATGTCACGATGACCTCATGGCAACGGTGTCTTATTACCTCGTCATGATGACATCATGGTGATGACGTCACAGTGACATCACACCGCTCCGGGCGGTGATTGGCCACCTGAGCTCCCCCCCCGCTGTGGAGCTTGTGGCTATTGGCGGTTGGTGATGTCACTGGGGTGGCGATGACGTCATGATGATGTCACATCAGCACCCTGAACCCCCAGTGGCCCTTGGTGGAGGGGTGATGACGTCACTGGGGGGTGATGATGATGTCACTGGGGTGGTGATGATGTCACTGGGGGGGGTGACGATGATGTCACTGGGGGGGTGGTGATGATGTCACTGGGGTGGTGATGATGTCACTGGGGCGGTGATGATGTCACTGGGGTGGTGATGATGACATCACTGGGGAAATGATGATGTCACTGGGGGGGGTGGTGATGACGTCACTGGGGGGGTGACGGTGATGTCACAGGGTTGGTGATGATGTCACTGGGGCGGTGATGATGTCACTGGGGTGGTGATGATGATGTCACTGGGGCGGTGATGATGTCACTGGGGCGGTGATGATGTCACTGGGGCGGTGATGATGTCACTGGGGCAGTGATGATGTCACTGCGGGGGTGGTGATGATGTCACTGGGGTGGTGATGATGTCACTGGGGTGGTGATGATGTCACTGGGGCGGTGATGATGATGTCACATTGTTGGTGATGATGTCACTGGGGCGGTGATGATGTCACTGGGGCGGTGATGATGTCACTGGGGCGGTGATGATGTCACTGGGGGGTGATGATGATGTCACTGGGGTGTGATGATGATGTCACTGGGGGGTGACGATGATGTCACTGGGGCGGTGACGATGATGTCACATTGTTGGTGATGATGTCACTGGGGGGGTGATGATGTCACTGGGGCGTGACGATGACGTCACTGTGGCCGTGATGATGACATCACAGACGCACGCCGATGACGTCACAGTGACGTCACAGTGACCTCACTCCCCCTCTCCACCCCCCCCTTCACCGCTCCTCCCTATGGGGCCGGATCAATGGGGGGGGGGGTGTGTGTGATGACATCATCACGATGACATCATCCCCTCCTTAAGCGCTCATTGGCTCCTCGATTACACCCCCCACCCCCCATTGAACCTTTGGGGATGAGGGGATGGATCTGGGGCGATGACGTCACAATGACGTCACGATGACGTCACGATGACGTCGCGATGACGTCACCGCAGGTCCGCATCGACGCCCTGGACCCCCATTGGAGCTCGTCGCTGACGCTGGGGGTCTGTGGGGCCCCGCCCCCCGGGCGCTGCCCCCTCCCCTCGTGCGCCGCCGCCCTCCGGCGCCCGGCCTGGCTCCTGCACCGCGACGGAGTCTTCATCAATGGGGGGAAGGTAACGGCGCCGCCCCATAGCGACCCATAGGGACACATAGGGACACATAGGGACACATAGGGACACATAGGGACACATAGAGACCCATAGAGACCCATAGGGACACATAGGGACACATAGGGACACATAGAGACCCATAGAGACCCATAGGGACACATAGGGACACATAGAGACCCATAGGGACCCATAGAGACCCATAGAGACACATAGAGACACATAGGGACCCATAGAGACCCATAGAGACACATAGAGACACATAGGGACCCATAGAGACCCATAGGGACACATAGGGACCCATAGAGACCCATAGGGACACATAGGGACCCATAGGGACACATAGGGACCCATAGAGACACATAGGGACACATAGGGACACATAAGGACACATAGGGACCCATAGAGACACATAGAGACACATAGGGACACATAGGGACCCCATAGGGACACATAGAGACCCATAGAGACACATAGGGACCCATAGGGACACATAGAGACACATAGGGACCCATAGAGACACATAGGGACCCATAGAGACACATAGGGACACATAGAGACCCATAGGGACACATAGGGACACATAGAGACCCATAGAGACCCATAGAGACCCATAGGGACACATAGAGACCCATAGGGACACATAGGGACCCATAGGGACACATAGAGACACATAGGGACCTATAGAGAACCCATAGAGACCCATAGGGACCTATAGAGACCCCATAGAGACCCATAAAGACCCATAGAGACACATAGAGTCATCATAGAGAACCCACAGAGACCCATAGAGACCCATAGAGACCCCATAGAGACCCCATAGAGACCCACAGAGACCCACAGAGACCCATAGAGACCCATAGAGCACCATAGTTCTCCACAGACCCCCCACAGAGCCCCACAGAGCCCCCATAAAGCCCCATAGATTGCCATAGACCCTCCATAGAGCACCATAGATGCCCATAGACACCCACTGACCCCCCATAGAGCCCCACAGCACCCAATAGGCCCCCCTGTAGACCCCCATGGACCCCAGACACCCCATATAACCCCATATAACCCCAATATAACCCCATATCCCT